CTGCTTTTTTTTGCTGATGTAGAAACTGAAAAGTTGCACATGTGCTGACCAGATGTGGCTACTATTGTTGTGTTTTGCAAGTTTGTGGTCTGTGAAATCCATCTTCGAACCTTATCCTCCATGTGATGAAAGCATTAATGAATAAAACCTCATTTGAGTTAAGGAAAATGCACTTTTAAAGTCAATCTCCACTAAACAAAAATGTTTAGTTTTTCTGCAATGAATGAAACTGACACAAAACTCAAATTAGGTCATTAGGTGGGGAATGGTTGCTGTGTCATACTCTGAGTCAATCGACATAATAATTTATAACAGAGAAACCATTTTTTCCTTTTTAAGTTGTCACTGGTGTTACATTATAAATGCAGCATCAATGGTTTAGTATTTGGGTGCTATATTAAGGGTAAAATGCATATACTAAAATTTTAAAACTTTATTTTAGTTTTAATTATGAATAATACTTGCCCTTAGACCTAGACTCAACTTTATTTATCCCTTTATTTATTCTTCAGGGAAATTCTGGTTCCAGTAGTTTCTATAGAGTACAAAAGAGTTAAAGCAAGATGCCATTAAAGATCAAAATACAATAGATATTATAAAAAGAGTGTATATAGTAGAAGAGATCATTAAAAAACTTGTAATGTCCTGGAATATGTTTCCCTTACATATAAGAATGCCTGCAGAGTAGAGAGCTAAGGAAAGACTACAAATTAGTTTACTTGGATTATTGCACTTAATTATTGACCTTATAAATAAGTTTAAAAAATTACACAGGCTACACATCAGTTGGCATGTGTTATTGCACAGTGAGAGAGAAGAATATTGCACATGAGTGACAATAGGTAATGTTTGGACAAGATGTCCAAAGGGGAGGGGTGCTGACCCTTGTCCCTTTTCCTATCACCTCCTCTTTCCCCCAAGTGAGGAGTTGTACAGCTTGGGGAACAAAGGAGTTCAGCATGTGTTATTGCACAGTGAGAGTTCATTTTATTGAACAAATATCCAGACATAGATAACCTGATTAAATATAAACTGTGTAAAACTGAGTAAACTAAAGCAATAAAAACCAAGCTAGCTATTTATGAAATGTATTTAGCCCATAGACCTAATCACTAGCTTTGCAACCATTTTCATGTAAAGTTCCAGGAAGTGTCCTATAAATGGAAATGTGTCTTTTTTTGTTGCCTTTGGGAATTATCTCTTATGCTGGTATTTTTTTTTTTCTGTATCGAAAGTCATGGTAAACACAGTCTATTTACCCAATGTGAGACAGGCCCTTGTGTTTGTTTTGGTCAGCAGTGGTTCATCTTGGAAAGCTCCCATGGGTGCTATATAAGCCCAGTCTCCCTCCTATTGATGAATCACAAACCTTTTTTAACTAAAGGGAGTAAAGTCTGCAGTTCTTTTGTTTTGGGCTCTTCTGAGACTTCATTGATAAGTTGCTGGTGCATTTTTTGGTGATTCAATACAGTTCATTAGACACTGTAACCTTGTGAGGATGAGGGAAATTCTAAATAAATTGAAACTTCTAAACATGGACATAATTCCATTAATATTAAACTATAAGAAGCACTAACCCTGATATGCAGCATTTCCTAATGCAAACATTACAGAATATGTTAATTTTAAATGAAAATATTATTTAAAGTTGATAAGATTTTGGATTTGGACTAAGACTTAAAATGTATGTACCTCTGAGCAATAGAAAAATCTGTTCCTCATATAATGGTTCTTAACATTCAGTCTCATGGTATTTCAAAGAAAACATCAAAGGTTCAAAGGGAACTATGAGATAAGGGTAAATGATAGCAAATGCCTAAGGTAATCATACTTGGGTTAAGATAAACATCCGTACAGCATTCTCATGTGAGAAAGTGTGGTCTGGATTAAAATCTGCCCATTCAAACAGCCAACATATATATAAAATAATTGTCTTCATGACATCTGTTCCTGCACTTCAGGAATGAGGGTTGAATCCCACTACAAAGGCAGTTTATGTATTCTTTAGTGACACTCCATTGACAGTAAGGGTGGAGTTGGAGTTTGTCAAACACTTGGACAATCCACATTAGAGGCCCTGTCTTTAAAGAGAGAATCTAAAGACTGCAACGTTTCCAAAGGCCATGGAAATAATACAGCTGAAAATTCCAGCAGGAAAACTGCCTCATTGGATCTTATATAGAACACAGACTATCATCAGCTGACAGACATTCAATATGCACAGTTTTTTAAGCTTGCTTGTGCCTCAGCAGGACAGGCTAGCTTTACTATGCGGAAAAAGTATTCACAACGCTTTAACATTTCTGTATTTTGCTGTAATTATACATTTCTCTACATTTCATTAGGATTTCACTGACAAACACAAACTCATGTTTTTTTTCCTTTTCTGCTTACTTATCATTAACATTTTGGGTTCCTTTTATATGATCTAATAATTTCAATGATTTATTTCCTCTGTCTTTTTGTTTTTGCCACTGTAAAATCAGAATATCCTCACTTTTGTACAACAATACCTTCACTGCAGTCAGAGATCATGTCTTTTGTAACATGTCTCCACAAGGTTTGGTCAAAGCGGACATTTTTACCCTTCTTTATTTTGATTAGATGAATAAAGCGTCTATAAAGTCCTTATCATGCTGCTGTATTGGATTAAACCATCCTTATGCATCAATATGCTTCGATATAAATCAACCCAATGCTGAATTCATAATCAGCCTCCATCCCAGGTTTTTCGATTTTCTCACCTTATTTCCACGTTTCTCTTCTGCCATCTTCAATAAAACTCCTGAAGAAATGATTCATCTCAGCATGTTGCTGACAGTTCCATGTACTACTCTTGGTGTGTTTAAAATTATATTTTGTGATCGTTTCTATTACAACAAAGTCTCATTTGTTTTGAGCGTTTTTACCCAACTTGTTGCCTTCCTTTCCATTGGCTTGAAAACTAATATGTAATTTTGATTTCTGAAGCTTTTTTTGTATTAACCTTTTTTTAAGCCAGTTTTCCACGAACGCCAGACCCTATGCTTGAAGGAATTCATTTGAATTAATGAATTTCATGAGTACTTTAGGCCTTAGGGAGTGCTTTATAAAAAAAAAAATCTATCTAATCAGTATAAGAATCCCATTGATGAAGTAGGGGTGCTGTGTTTTATCGCTTCTTACAGCTTCTCTACATGATTCAGAAGCACATTATTAACAAACATACCAGCACCAAGAGAAAAATGTGCTTTTATATCCAGACATCCTGCTGGATGAAACTCCTCTGCCTGATCAGCCCTGATTAGGACAGGTCTCTCAATAGGCCCAATCAGCACAAATGATGAATAACTTCAGCCAATCGAGTTGGCAGTTAATCAGCAGTATCCAATCAGATAATAGGGACCTAAGTTTTGAAATGGGAAGCAGACAGACCCTACGGCTGCTTCGGAGGAAGCTGCTGGAGAGGCTCTGAAAGCTGTACAGGGAAATGCCACTTTCCTGAGGAACACCACTGTCTGCAGACAATTACTTCAAATTAGAGGACTCAGTGGACATCTAATAAAAGGTATTGTGCCTGAGTCAGAAGGAGAGCATTACACCCCAAGGTTTTTTACAAACATGAACCTCGGTTCCAAGTCCTAAATGGCTGTTTCCAGAATAGTCAACAAGTTTAGTCATATGTTCTTAGTAAAATTGCAGACATTTGTTGGCGCTCATGGTAATGCCCAGAAATAAATCAATGTTTTATTTCGGCTGTAAAACCTCTAACATGCAGTTAAAAACAAAACATAAGTTTGATTTTTGGTCTATTTTTTGCACATCCTAATGTGGGGAATTTGAGAGACGACAGTATGTAAATCAACAGGTGCATACCAAAGCTTAATAAGTGGACCACTGCCTCCAAGTGCTTCAAGATGCCTTTCTAGTGGCTGCTGTTCGTGTTCAGACCACACTGTATGGAAACCTCCCTTGAGCATGTGGGTGTAATGCAAGCAAGAGGGCCATGAGAGATGAATGTTAACAGCAAAGTATTTTTCTTTTTTTTAAGAATGATTTCAGACACTTACTCAGGAAGAAAACATTTGGTTGAGCAACAGTGGGCTGCTGTTACATCCTGTGCTGATATGGCTGTCAGTTATGCCACTTAGCCCTGCATCCAAATTGTTTTCCACTTTGCTGTAAGCAGCTTTGCACGCATAACACTTTTAAAGGCTGGTGTCAACACAAACCATGTAGTTATATAATCTGAATTTGGGAAATGTGTATAAAGGATCAGACAGAGTTGAAAAGATTAACAAATTGGTCTTTAGCCGAAGAGGATTTATGGTCATTAACTGTCGACCTACTAGAGGATGAGAAAAATCAAGATGAGCTGATGTAGAATGTAGAGCCACCGCCCCCTTGTGGTCAATATATTCATCTAATTGCATATTTTTATTATTTCTGCATCCAACAAATACAAGATTCCTTTCCAATTTTACAGAATGAAGGATAGAGGTCTAAAAAAGAGGATGGGAAGACAGGTAATGGACATGGGGATGAATAAAAAGATGTTGAACTAAATGGGAAATAATATACGATTGGCTAGATGGAGCAATTAATGAAAATAAAGACTTGACAGATGGATAATGCTGAACAAAGGGGTAGATGGACACCTTCAGGAGTACTTGACAAATGAATGGATGCATAAACTGCTATGGTACAGTGTTTGCTGGTAGGATGGATGGATGATGGGGAAAAAAAACAGGAAAGGATTAGAATAAAAAAAAAAAAGACTTATAACGCATGTCTTCTCTATACTTATTTAGTGTTCGGGGGAAGTCATAAACGACAGTTTATGTCCATGCTTTATACACCTAATGCCTTATCCAACCTCTAAACCACATAAAGCTCCCAAATATTACACATGCTCAGAGACGAGTTTATCCCAATATTTTTATTTCAATACATGAGGGACCTGCAGTCAAGATAATCTTCACACATTCATCCGCAGAGGCTCATCATTAAAAAAGGGAAAAAAGCAGGATCCCCCCGCCCTCCCCCCACAAAAATATGAGCAAATATTTCACAATATGTACATCAGTAAAAGTCACGCTCAGGCTCAACTCAGAAAAACATTCAACCATTACGTCGACTGGTTGATGTTTTGGAAAAGAAAAACACAAACATAAAACCAGAAAGTAAACCTCCTTCATTTTATTATCTGTTTAGAAGATTTATACGACAACTAATGCTTAAACCTCTCATCCTCACAGATAAACACGAACGCAGTCATTGGTAATCGTCCTGAAATGTCACCCTGATGAAATATTCACATTTCAGCACTTCCCTCAGTACATCAGGTCAAACATTGCACATTCCAAAGCAGAACAAATCTGTAAATACTGTTACAAACCTCTTAACACGGCAGAGCGCCGGCTAACGAAGCCACTCTTAATGTTCTCACTGTCTGAAAAGCCAAATCTCTGAGCGGCAAAGCTGAAACCAAAGCCAGCAAAGAGTAAAACTGCATTCAAAGTGTTTTTGTGGGGTATATGCAGAAAAAAAAAAAAAAGCAATCCTCTTGTGGACTTAATGCTCTACAAACACCCCTATAGGTATATAAATACAAAATGACTAATGATCATGTAAACAATTAACAGAAAAAAATGTTTAAACAACTATGCACAGAAATAAAACAGAGAACATCTGTTGGCTTAGAGCACAGAAAACCCTCAAAGCATTTGAAATAAATAGTTTCACAATAACTTAACAGAAAAAAATATATATATTCCCAAAAAGTACAACGCTCTCCAATAAATTAGCCAGAAAGAGGAAGCATAGGGCTATAGATTGAAAAGTGAAGGTAGACATGTACAGAGCTGTAGATGCATAGGTGGAAGAGGACATCCTGAGAGAAACCATAAAGACATGACAAATAAAATATAAAATAAAAACATGTATATATATAAATTGTCTTATATAGGGGCTGATGACTAACTTCCTTAATTTATTTCCTATTAGTGTGACCTATTATCTAACAAAAGCACCTATCTGGTTACAATCAGAGGCAGGGGAATATATAAGGCAGGGTATTAAAGATAAAATGGGTCAAAAAATACATTTTCCCAAAACTTCATAAGGTAAAAACAGGTAACAGAAACTACTTGGCTTACTTTAAAACCCCTTTATCACCTCTGGCAGGCAAAAAAAAAAATCAAAACAAAAAAGCATAACCCTACCATACATGCAGCAATGACCAAATCCCTTCTCCTTAAAGAACACGGTCAAAAGAAAATCTCTGTACATATTAATCTATACAAGTGCTTGAACTTAAGCAATGAGCTTATATATTTACATAAAAACACATCAGTCCCTGATCGTTTAAGGCCAAAGTGCTGCAGATGTGTCACCCACAGCATGGTGAGGCTGCTGTTGCACTTAAAGTGTTCCTCCGTTTGCAAAATGCAAAAGAAGCCATTATTATACAATACAACTCAAGGCCTTTGTTCTTATGTCTTTCAAAGCGCATTAAGCTAAAGCAAACTCTGGAAAGCAGAAATGATTCCGATGTCACATTTCTTTTTACGAGGCCACAAGTTTCTATTTCTAGTTTAAATGGTATTTACAAATAGTAGCATCCAGGTTCATATGACTCGAGTCCCATTTATTTTTATTCAGTTTAAGGGGACATCCTGAACACGTGACAGAGAAATATAGGGACCGCCAACATGTTGGGGCTGTTGGGCGGAAATTAATGCAGGAAACGGGAAACCTGGGCTGTGAAGAAGTGCTGGTCTTTATGTGAATGAGGGGAACCACAGTGATGAAGGAGTCAAAGCATGCCGAAGCCCTCGCTGCCCTCGCTGATAGCCAGCTTCAGCATCTTGTGCAGTTCCTCGTAGGAGTCGTATGTAGGGAGGCACAGCTGGTTAAAACTGGAGACAGTCACAGAACCATATGATGTTAACAATCAACATATTGTCTTAGAGATTCATACTGCTTTAGCTTTCCATATTCTGAAAGCTTAAAACTCCAAATTTCAATGTATTTTGCTGGGTGTTATATTTAAAAAGAATAACTGAATGAGTAAATTGTGTAAAAATAAGGACAATCATACAAATCATACCATCATAAAACAAAAACAATAATAGGAATAATAATAAGTAACATGGAGTTGAAATCAGGTTAGTTACGCAGTCCAGCCTTTGGTGGTATAATTCAGCTTAAAAATTGGTCAGACTAGAAGGACAACCTCTAAGCAGCAATTTTCCACACATGCCAAAGATTTTAAAATCTTGACTTTGACTAAATCGTTCAAACATATAAATCATGTTTGATCGGAGGCTTTTCACCGTAGCTCTGCTACTTCTTTCCCTTCTCTACAGGGATGTAATGCAGGGATGTAATGCAACAATCCATCTGTTCAAAAATATCCACTGGACTTGGTTTCCAAGATTTGAAAACGTTTTGCCACCTCTCCAGGAAGCTTTCTCAATGCAAATGTCTGGATCCGAGTGAGTTTGAGTCTATATATAGACAAGGCCTTGTATTGCTTGGAAACATGCAAATTGAAACCGTTGTTTGGTTCCGTTGTTAGCCTGTAATATCTGAAACCTGTCTATGATTCTGAAGGTCGGTCGTTAAAGGAGGGGATTGTAGTTATAGGGGGGGATTGTCTCCTGTAATACCTGAAACCTGTCTATGATTGTTAAGGGTCGGTCGTGAAGGAGGTATTGTTCACCGGCCTTGTCTATATATAGACTCAAACTCTGTATAGGTCTATATATAGACTCAAACTGCGGATCCAGACATTTGAATTGAGAAAGCTTCCCGGAGAGGTGGCAAAACGTCTTCAAATCTTGGAAACCAAGTCCAGTGGATTTTTTTTTTTACTTTTACAGAATCAGTATGACCTGGATGACTGAGAATCTTCATTAGCAGTCTTAAAAGATACTTTTGCTCAAACCTGCATATGAGGTATTAGTAAGTAAGGAGTATTAGAACAAAGGGAGCTAAATAATAATGTAAACCTGAACTTTTCTGACTTTTATTTTTAAAACAAACCTGAAAATGCTGCATGTTGTTTAAAACTTTACAAATAAGCATCACTTTGTGCTCCATCAAATCTAATCCTAAATAATACACTGAATTAAGAAGTATGAATGCTTCTCTAACAAATTCTTTATGCAGAAATTCAGAGAATTAATCCATTAGGACATACATAGATTATTTTTGTTAAATCTAAAATGGTTTCATAATTATGAACTTTCAAGATGTACAACTTCCTAAGACAAAATCTAGTCCCAATACAGTCTTCCTTCCCTGCTTATTAAAACGTAATCCTGAGATGTCTGCTTTGGCAAAGGCCACGTGGCATGCTTTGTATCAAGTCTACATAGGATGTAGGAACAAGTATGAGTCCACCAAAAAAAAAAGATCATGCAGCATATAGAAACCCTGTCTTTAGAAATTTTCATTCAACTTTTTTTTGTTTTGTAAAAAAAATTTGAGCCTTAAAAAAACCCCTAACCAACTTCTTTATGATTTGCTTCCAAAGTGCCAGAATGCATTCTTCAAGAACAGTCCTGATTATTTTTCCAGGCCTCTCACAGTATTTAGACTCCAGTCCCTGACCATTTCCTCTATTTTTTAAGCTATTCAAATCTGGCTTCTCGACTTTTGGACACGGGAGAATCAAACTAGGGCTGCAAAATATTAGCGAAACGTGTAATGAGCAATAATATTGGTAAAAGGCAAATATATATACAGCTGGTGGTAAATCAAAGCTTTATTTCTATCTTTATCTCAAAGCGAAGGTTTTATTGAAGAAAGTACTTCAATAAAAAGTCTGCCGTTTTGGCAACAATAAAAGTTGGTTGTAGTTTCTGACCACCTAAGGGAGAAAGCTAAAAGGTTTTATCGTGCATTATACAACAAGCGTGTCCAAATATACTACGGAGAGAGAGCCTAAATGCACAAGACTTAACATTAATAGCATTCCGGGCTGTTCTATCGGATAAGGATTTTGCATATTGTGATATACCGCAATAATACATTTGTGGTATATTTTTCAGACAAGTTAGTCTTTGGATTTCAAAAACCAAACTAAAATAAGATTCTTTAAGCATTTTGTTCAAGCAGCCTAACACATAGATACATACATGCACATTTTAAAGCAACAAGATATATCTCTAGATAGTATTACCTGAAAAAGTAGCTTATACTATCACGGTGAATACGTTGTACCTACTGTACGGTGGATATACACTAAAGATGCTACAATATCAAACAGACACACGGCTAGTTTCTTTTTATACGTCTTTACTCACCAGGTATGTGCAGTGGGTAATGTGCTATGTGTAGGGGCTGCAATGATCTGGAATGAGGGGCAGAGTGTGTTGAATCCTCCAGGGGGAAGCTGAGAGGAGCCAGTGGTGAACTGCAACAGACGAGCCAGCTCTTCCTGAGTGAAACTGGACACCACTGCCCAGAACCACTTCATGACCTGCGGTCAAAAGAAACAGGAAAAAATAAATGACTTTCTCAGACGGCACCCTCCTACTGCAACATAATACTGGAGAGAGAAGTTCCTTAACGTACCTTCTCTCTAAAGTACCATGATCCTCCGACAATCACCGCATGGGCTTTGAAGTCTTGGACGTTTATATCCCCCGTTCCACACATCAACAACTGGGTGGATAAAAAGCCAAACATACATGATTACCTGATGACCACTGAGAAAAGAAATGCTGGGATTTTATCCCAAAACATTACAAACCTACCTCCAACTCATTCTCATCAAATATGGCCAACAGATTCTCTGGAACCAGTTCATTCAAACCTGCAGTGAATTAAGAAGTTACATCACAGACACAGGCCTGACTGAAAAGTTCAATGAAGGCAGCTTGTACAGAAAGTACAATCTTGTCTTACCTTTCAGGAAATGTTCCACCTCATCCCTGACCTGGCTGGCTAGTCTGTACTGAGCAAGAAGGTTAAGGTAATGCATCTTGTTGTCATTGGTGACAGCGATCTGAGCTCCCCCTGAAATCAGCTCCACCACCTGCAATCAGAGCATGACAAAGGGTAGGATTAATTAAAAAGTCTCATAAAAACACAACTTTTTCTGCAGGATTTAATACACCTATCAGCACACGGTTCTCACCAGGATTTGTTGACAACATAATAAATGTAAACATCATCCGGATCCAAGGGCAGTGCAAAACTGGTTGCACTTGGGACGTAAATAAACCTAGATATACACAACCGAAGCGTTGCACAAACCTGTAACCATAAAAGTTATGTTTTCACAGCACTGAATGTAGGTTCTCCATCATACAGAGTTCTCAAAAAGATGCGCAACTAGGCAGGTAAATGTATTTAAAAACATCCTTTATGCAGCAGGGATAATATACATAATAATAGACTATTTTATTTTGGGGAAAACAGTAAACAGAAGAATTTCTGACATAAAAAAAGCTCCCTCCCCATGTCTTTCATGCTCTTTAATAACATTCTTTGGAGGTTTGGACATTTAGGATGTTAAATAATGTGATTGAAAGCGATAACAGTAGTTATACCCTCCTTTATAAGACCATATTTTACACATACAGATTTTTCTATGTTCAACTGTTACGTGGAAGGAGCCAATGGTCAACCTTTAGGAAAATCTAAGAGACTTTACTTGCACCCTCCTCTCATTTCCAGTACACACTGGAATTTAAGCACAAAATAAGTTCTAAAACTAAGTAAGGTTTATGCACCTTTCTCAGATAAGTTTCACAAGCGCTGTGCAATGTTTAAAACTATAAAGGAAATACCTTAAGAATAATTCAACTCGGGCTGCAATTAACCAATTATTTTGCAAATCGATAAACCTTTGGTTTATTTTTTTCGATTTATAATAGCCAAAGATACTTTAAAGAAGACTTTATACAAAATTAAACCAGGTAAAACTCAAACTTTTCAACTTGAGGTGTCCTGGATGGAGCATATTGACCGACAATTTTTTTTTCTAAACCTTAAATGCAAAATGTTGATACATCTTTTTACAATCTTATGTTTTCTTAGTATCTTTTTTTACAATCTAAAAAAAAAGGAACAAGTTATTGAAATGTTAAAGCTATATCAGCTCATTGAAGACATAATGAAAGGCCACATTAAAACGTTGCTCCGTTGCAGCTGCAATTCTGGCTGTTAGTTAGAAAAGCGCTGTTACAATTTGGATGATTCTGGTGGAAGCATAAACTACAGCCCTACATGCTGGCCCAGTCAGTTTTACAACATAGAGCCTGAGTCTTCCCACGCTGAAACGCTGTGTATGGATTGCAGCCAGTCTGGCTAGCTAGGCTAGTGTTGCTGGGTCGTTTCAGGGCGCTAAACCTGGAAATTAAAGGCCTAGTACCTGTACTGGCTAGAACTTGGTGCTTCTCTCAGTGCCAGCATCTCTTCTGCAGCTAATGTGGCCCCATTTTCCTCATAGCAACCATGGCTGCTTCCATGTCATTTATTTTAATGAAAGACAACTAGTCTTTAAGTATCAACTTTGCCATAGCTTTGTCTTCCTATACAGTTGACAATAACATACAGGGTGATCATGATCTGTGTTCAAAGAATAAGGGATGCAACATAAGACAACAAAAAAACACAGTCTGCTTCACCTTTTGCCGCCTGAACAGCCCTGACCCATTCAAGCACCTATAAATTAGCAGCCGAAGCCTTAGATTTCAATCTGGGGAAGCCGTGGATCCCTCCCTTTTTCTGGTGGGTTTAGGTTGTGCTCCTTAAATTAATCATTTCCGAGTATTTTATCCAGCTTAAAGATGCTTTAGACATCAGGAATACTGTTTGAATACAAGAACGTTCATGGTCTGTTACAATCTAGAACAGTACTTGGCGTAAATCAATAATGATAAATAAGGACCAGATCTCGTCCATCCTTTGATGTGTAGTGCAGATCCACACATTAATTTATTGTTGGCGTTTTTGGCAATGGATGGTGATCAGAATGGACATATTGATGAGAATGCTTATCAAGTCCATTAAGGAGCAAACCCTGATGCACTGTATATTCTGACACCTTTCTTGCCAGAGCTTGGATTAATGTCTTCATCAGTCTAAGCTACAGGAGTTAATCTGTTGGATTAGACGATACAGGATTGCATTCACTCTCCTCATGCATCAATGATTCTGTTGCTAGTTCACAATTTCTCCCTTTAATGGGCCACTTCTGATAGATACGAATCACTGCAGAACAGGAAGATTAAAAAAAACTTTTTTAAATAGGCCTGCAGTTATGGAGATCATCTAATTCAGCCCTTTGGCTATCAAAATTTGGAGGCCTATCATTATCTTTTGCTTCCAAAACATTGTCATTAATGACAAAATGCTCCCACTCCCCACCAATAGCTGCCATGATAAAAACAACTTTAGTGTTATTCTCTTTACCAAAGAAATAAAGTTATGCCTAATTGTTATGCCTGTTACAGGAATTATTAAATAACATCACTTTAAGTGATTTAATGCAATTCAGAATCTCATTCTCCATTTAAATTGTTTTCCTCACCTCATTATGCTGACTGATCGTGAAGGCAGATTCACATACTTCCTCCATAATAATTAGTACATTTTGGAGGGCAGAGCTTCAGATCAAAAAAATAAACAAAAATAATATATATCTACATATAATAAAAACAAAAAAACAGCGGTCTTACGTCACATTTGATGTGACAGGACTTCTTGTGTTTTACATTAAGTAATTCCATCTCTTGGCTTTAGACCCATGTAACAAATAGTTTTTTTAATATGGTACCATTTATGGCAAGATGAACAGTAAGAGCAGAAAGACACTGCTGATTTATGTGTTTTTTAATAAAATAATTAATTGCAGCTAGATGTTTGTAAATTCAACATTATAACTTAATAGTAAATTTTAGACTAAAACTGTTTTTGTAATGAGAAATGAGAAATTCCACTGTATGAATCTACAACTTTCCGCCTCTGAAGTAAAAGATCACTGTCAAACAAGCAATCTGGTTTATTTTATCTGGTGAACTGCTTTTTTCTACGATGAAATTGCACCTAAGATTAAAAGGGGGCTTCCTTTCCAAAGCGTTGCCTCACCTTTTCCAGCTGGCCTGACTTGTACTTCTCCTCAGCAAACACCAGGTCCATTTCACTCACGTCATTGTTTAGGATGAAGCAGACTTTAGTTTTGTAGAACTCCTGATCATCTGTCTCAAAGTACTACATGTGGAAAAACAAAATGAAAACACATAAAAATGAAATTTTTAAACAAACTTATGTGATCTTCTCCAAAAATGGATAATAAGATAACTGGGTGGGGAGCATCTGAAACACAGCAGGATATATAAACAGCACAACATGGTGACTGGCTTTCTATAAATAATCTCAAGAACCAGATTACGTTTCCTGGCTTTGTGAAATATGCTAAAGTGATGAGACATCCCAGATGACAGGGAAGTATAAACAACAAAAGCAGCGACCTTCCTACCTTGTAGTTCATCCTTAGGCCAATGATCTGAGCCAGGAAGGAACGTGTAAAGCGAGCTCGGACCAGCTGTTTGTAGGATCCGCCCAAAGCAGATTCATACAAACATTTACCGACGATGCGACCAGCAAACTCGTACATCTTCAGGCGCAGGTGGGGTGGCCTGTCAGCATTTGGGTGCACCTGAAAACAAAGCATGGTTTCTTTGTAGCTTCTAAAGCCTTTTAATGCTCAACTAGGAGTGTAATGTCTTAATGTGGAAATATTCCAAAGCAATTACTCACAAGGCCCTGGTTGTTTTCACTGAAGCGAGTAAACAGCTGGTTTGACGTGTCAAAAAGGGTCTTACAGATGAGCTCAAACCACTCCCTGCGAGGGCCTCCCCAGTCGAGAGCTGATGAAGGAAGCCATGTGTTTGTCAACTTGGTGACTTACTTTAACAGCACAAACAAAAACAAACACGCTACACCTTGCAAAAGTATTCATACCCCTTGAATGTTTCGTTCTTCGTATAGTCATGAGCATAAACTTCAGTATATTTTATTGGGATTCATTTCTCAAGCCAACACAAAGAAGCCCATAAAGGTGAAACTAAAAAAATGGCTAAATTGTTTTCAATTAATTTATTTAACTTTTTCCCCCTTTTAGAATTTCTTTCAACTGTGCACATCTAGAGTTAAAAAAAATGCCTATTCTAATTTGCACTATATTTTAAGATCACTCATAACTAGAAAAGTCACCAGAAATGTTACATTTTAAGTGTTACCACAAACCTATTTAAAAATACCTTATGACTTTAACTGGGCTATCAATGTGTCACCATCTAAACATGCCTCACTCATCGGAGTCATGGCAACCACAGGCTTAAATCAGAGGCAAATATACTTTTACTCGTTCCTGAGCTGCCAGAATTTATATAGAGTCCTTGATAGTTGTCGAAATGTTTTAAGGATAACTGAGTGAAACACTGCTGGTCACAGATTAAAGGCAATTTTGTGACCTTGGATTTAAATCATACAGTTCTGGTTGTAGGTGTGTGCTAGTTTGTCAACCTCCAAGCAAGTCTAAAGTCTTTAAAGCTCTTCAGGATGCCGTATAATTTAAGTCGCCTCTTACCAGCGATACTATCCCAGCTGAACTACATACAGCATGGTGCTGCTAACACTGACGCACATGTCTGCTGTGTTAACTGACATCAATGCATTTTAAATTGAAAATAACTTCCTCTCAGTGACCGTTTCCACTGTTGCTTTCTTAGCTGTATATTTAGCATCGAATACTATTTTTCTCCACATTTTATCCCTGAACTGACTGCTGCTACTTCATGTCGTCATGTTTGTTTTTTTTAATAATGCCATCCAAAGGACTTCACAGGCCTTCACAAAGCAGCTGTGTTTATACCACATCTTCAACCAAGTGAATTTCAGAGAGCTACTGGTAGTAAAAAAAAACAAAATGAATTAGGACAGTGAGAATAATGAAGGCATAAAACCATCTAGGCCATATGTTTTAGATGTTAACTTGTAAAACATAAAAATCATGAATCAGCTTCCTTCCACTTCCAGGCTATGAGCTCCTTTGACCTTGTGATGGTCTATCACTTACAATCCAAATAAGAAACACTCAAGGAACGGCTTTCAATGTTAAAAACATTAAGAGCTATGAACACTTTTGTAAAATATTTAAATTATCTATTTATCAATTCATTTTACTACCTTCTTCATCCTGGAACACAACTTCAAAGTTCTTACTCCAGTCTGACACAGAGAAGTTTCTTGTTGCCTTTAGTGACTGCAAAAAAAAATCAGACGAGAAAAAGATTCATCACAGGTTTACAAAGTCGCTGGTATTATAACTTTATATTATTTCTTTTGTTTTTATATACAAAGAAAATTAAAAAAAAGCACTCACTGATTCTAGAATAGCATGTCGAGTGATTTTTAGGCAGGTTTTGGTGCGAGGTTTCTTGGAGTGAATGTGCCTGAGTTCACGTTGAAAGAAGTTTACCTTATCTTGAAAGGTTTCAGAGCCTCCTGTAGACAAGACAAAAACATGTTTTAATTGCTTAACTCTTCATCTAATATCCATTTTAAAGCAATAACATCCTTATCAGAGTGAGACAAACCAATGTTTTTGTGCAGAAAGCGAATGAAGGTGGCAGCCATGATGTTTCTGTCTTTGCAGCTGAGCTCCACAGGAGGCTGGATGCCATCATCCACAACAAGAGTTAAATACTTATGAACTGGATCTGGACCATAATAGGTAAACTGCAAAGAAAGGCTACCATGAGAAAGACATCTATAATAACCCTTATATGAGGTTTCCTTTATTTTGCCTACCTTGGTTCCTGGACATACTCGAAAGGTGAAAAGGCGCCATGGAATAATTTTCAGGTAGAACTCCTTTATAGATAGTTGCTGTTCGACAGACGACCAAAATCAATACTCAAACATATCTTATAACAAATAGTGTAAAAACTAGAGTTCACTATTAGGATACAGCACTCACCTTTGGCGATATGTAACAGTAGACCTTTTTTGGTTTCTTCACTTTCTCTGGTTGACCCTCCACAGGAGAGTCATGCTCCTCGTCTTCCTCGCCCATAGAGGGCCTCCTCTGAGGAGCTAACAGAGAGGAGGCTGGTAACTGCCAGGAGGAATTGCTGTAGTTACCACTACTGTAGAGATACGCCTCAAAATAGATGCTAATGCCCGGAGTGGACACGTTCTTCTCCACGGAGGCCTTTTCATTCTCTGTAGTAACATATGTGGGTGTTAGGCTCAGAAGACAGAGTAGTAAAGAGATTTTGTTCAGAGTACAGAGGAAGCTCACCACTGAGAACAATAATGTCAAACTCCCCGTTGCTGAGTGGCTGATCATTATAAGAGATCCGGGCCCTGAAACAGCCCGTCTTTCTCAGGATGAGTCTCAACAAAACTTGGCACTGCTGCTTGTTGAGTGAGACTGACTTGGAGTAGAAATTATCTGAACTGTCATCATCCACTGTGCCAAGCTGGAAAAAAAAAAGATCAGTATGAATAAAGTAAATGAACAGTAGCGAGTTTAATGAGCTGTAACACCATAGAGCTGGTAGAATATTAACAGTGATAAAAATAAATCCAAACTTTCACTTCTTTTATTGATGCTAGAAGAAAAAGTGCATAGCCCTGCTCTAATCCCTGTATCTTCATCATGTTTTGTCAGATTACAAGAACCAGCTTTGGTCTTTTTTATTAATATTTTACAAAAAGGACAAGTTAATAATTAAACGAAAAGGAAATTACATGTTTTTGAATATTATTAAAACTACCAAACTGAAAAGTGTAGCGTGCTATTTTTTTCTAGCTCATATGATTCTGACACTCCTGAAGTGTGCCATTTAATCTATTTATAAATACAGCTGTTGAATGAGACACTCAGAGGTTTGTTTGAGTATGTTACTAAGGAAACAGCATTGTCAAAACTAAGGAACAAAGATGGGTCTGGGGTAAAGATCTGGATAGCTTTATGACAAGGTTAAGTAATACTATCATTTTTAAGCTCTGAACAGCTCACAGAAGAATGTTTAGTAATTCACATGAAATGGTCCAGTTGTAAACCTGCGAAGGGGTCATATTAAAAAAAAAATTCCCCCACAAGACATTAGGAGACCCAGCTAACTAATTAGTTAATGAAAGCAGTGTCGTTTTTGTCAACAATAAAGGTATAGTGGAGGATTATTTGCATATTTCTGAAAAGACCCATCATCTCCACTAAAAAAAATAAAAAATTAAAAAATAAATGCACATGCACAACCCTGTACCCACTCCAGATAGGGAACACCTATTAAATGCATGCGAGAGCCCGTTTCTCCTCATGCAGGCTGTGTTTAAAAGTGTTTGCATCTCTCAGACAATCTTACTTTTCTAAAAGAAGATTTGCAGTTTTTCCACTATGTCAGACTCACCACCGGTAAATGAAAATGGGGATGAGCACGTAGGACGGCCTTACTTAAATATACCACCAGAATGATTGACAATTAGGAGGAAAACTTATTTTGATAATCGACCCGGAAAAAAAAACATCCTCCACTATACCTTTAACTATGACCAAAACTTTAAGTTGATGAAACTTTTTCAGGACTATTATGAGAGGGTAACACATAAACATAGCATTTAGCAGACCAACACACTATGAGAAATTTGAGAGTCTTTGTTGTAACTGCTTAATTTTTTAGAAAAACTAGATATTGTGATTGTAGATATGATGATTAATCGGACAATTCAAATCTATACATTTCTTCCTTTTATGCATGTAAATTGTCAGTCAAAATCTAAAGGATCAATAACCCTGCTCCCAATATATGTGCTTATTTAGCCACTTGTGGTCGGACACCACAAAAACTCATATGAATATATGTTAAATATGATTTTTTCAAAAGAAAATC